AATGGTTCACTCAATCGTATGCTAATACGTAAGAAAAGCAATTTGTTAATAATTTGATTGAAATGATCTGGTATATTAACATGCATGATTACCAGAAATTTGAAAAACGTAATTACTATATACTTGAGCTTTTTCTTGAATTTTTTGATTATGCAGATCCAGAATTATATAAGAAAGCATAAAAATCCTTTAATACCAATAAACTAAATTTATATTGTCAAGTTCTTACTTTATATACTATATCATCATGGATATTAATAGCGAATTTTAATTAACTCTGTGATCTATTTGACAATTTTATTGTTACTATTTTGAATTATGTTAGATTTTTGCGACGTTAACGTAATATTACTTCTGTAAATCATGCATCAAAAACTCCTATACATTCTATTAATTAGACTACAACAATCAAAGTCTATAAGCGAAATATTTGGATTACAACTGTTGATAAGACCAAATATCATAATCTTGAACAATTGCTCATTAATTTACCAATGTGAAAAGTGGTCAATATTGAAGAATACTTGCCAATTGATTTTGTATAAGTAAAAATCAAATTATTATTAATATATCAATATAAGCTAATGAAATAATTCATATATAGAGCAAGAATGTGTTGTCAACCGAGACTACCAAGAAGAACTGACAATTTTAGCAAAAATGTGCAGCCATGTCAAGAATCCAAAATTTTATACTGACGGCTCACTATCTAACCCGAGTTCTGAAAATTGTAAAATGGGTCTAGGATGGATTTGTTCAAACTCGGACTCTAATACCCCTCATTCTTTCGCGGCCGCAGTATTACACTCGCCTTCTTCAACAAGAGCTGAACTTTTTGCCCTTTTCTCAGCTTTATTGGTCTGTCCACCACATTCCGCTCCTGAATTTTTTTTGGATAGCCAGGCGGTCATAGATACATTTGATAAATACATCCTTCACAACAATCTTACAACAAGGGCAAAAGGAAAGATCCCCAATTATACGGTTTGGAATTTAGTCTATCACGTTATTCATGATCTACATCTTACGGTTAAGCTGCATAAGATCAAAGGACACTCAGGAGACACTTACAATGATATAGCAGATGGATTAGCAAAAGCTGAACGCTCTAAAACACCAATTTCATTAAATTATACTATTTTTAAAGGATTACATTTGCTGCTAACTTTTAACTCAATACCAATTGAATCATCTTCACGGAAATTTTGGAGAAATCTAAATGAAGCAACTCAATTTTCTCACTTCCTTGATCTCAATAGAAACTCCTTGACAAAATATTCTACTAGATCAGCTGAAATTGATTGGCCTTCTTCATTTCATTTTCTAGAAGCAAACAAAGAAGACTCCGATGCTGCAACATCATTCGTCCAGCGAAATAAAAAAGCTTTCAAAATTAAATCCTTGTCTAACAACCTCCCCACCTTGGACAATTTGGAGATAAGAAGACCTGATATATATAAGGATTGGCTATGCACTTTTTGCAAGGTAGAAAAAGAATCCTACTATCACCTTTGGATATATTCAGACCTTTCTAATGACATTGATAGCATGTGTCGGTCATTACAACATCATGTGGATACCAATATTACCCTCATGCTGACAAAGAACAAATCAAAGCTAGCGTTCTATCAAAAATCAGTTCGACAAAGTCTGCTAGACCTATTAGATCCCACGATTAATTTAGACGTCTGTATTTCCATGGCTAAAGGACTCATACCTGCAAAATTATCGACATTGATCGGCAAAATCTTCCCACAATCCAAAGTAAGGCCCATCATTATCGAAGCTGCGAACTTCCTCCTCTCATCATTCCACGAACAGATATGGTTACCCAGATGCAATTCAGTTATCAATACTGAAAAAAGTAAAGGAATAACTACTAGGCTCAAGAAAAAGAAGGTCAAACTAAAATCACTTTCCAATGATATTTCAAATAAACGTACATCAAACACTTGGAAAGTCTGGATCACTTCAGCCTTGAAATTTGGTTTCTCTTGGTCGGATTTTTAGAACGGTACTGATATGTCATTTGAATTTCTCATTGATATATACATCAT